GAGTTTTCGTCTCTAGTGATTATTTTCATTTTGAAGAATTGTATTCTTTTCATTTGCAACCTCTGATTCAACTGTGTGTTGAGGAAGGGTTAGTATAGTATTGTTGATAGTAGCTTTACTACTATGAAGTGTGTTTATAAATAATGGTGGAAAAACTTTTTTTTTTAAATTCATTTAAGTGTTATTGGAGTAAAATTAAATGAAAAAGAAAAAGTAAGATGTTATTTGATATAAACTTTGATTTGGGTAGCTTAGACATCGTATTAAAAATGTAAAACTATCAAAATTACAAATAAATTTTAATTTTATGTAATTACATATGCAAATTGTCGATTGGATTCAACTTTTGAAAACTATTGAAGTAGCTATTAAAATAATATTATTTAATATATAAAAGATTATATTTATTTAACATGAAAATAAACGAGTACAGTTATTTTTTAAAAATATATATAATTAAATCGAGATTAAAAATTTATCTGTACAAGTGAATAAATATTAAAATTTCATGTGTATAATTGACTAAAATCAAAATTAATAAATAATATTATATATTTAAATATTAATTAGATATTTATTTTTAAAAAAGTTAAAATTATATTTATATACTTATTTAAATAATATTAAATAAATAGATTTTTAATTGTTATATTTAAATTCAAACCGAATCGTATCTAACCAAACTAAACTAAACTAAACTAAACGATCACCGGACCCGATCCAAACAGATTCAATACATATACACAAATTTCTAATTTTTTCTTCATACGATACGACGACGTATTGTATTTAAAAAGTGAAATGACAGAGTCACCTCTCTCTCTTTCTCTTATTTTCGTTTATAATTTTCCTCACGTTTCGCTCTTTTGTAATTTCCCTTTGGATCTTCTCTTTTGAGTTCTAGATTTCAATTCAGTTGAATAAAAGCATTTAAATCGCTTTTGTTTTTGAAATAAAACCCTTAAATATCAACGAAATTCGAGAAAAAGCAGTTGAAAATTGCAAAACATGTCGAGAATCAGAGATCGAACTGAAGATTTCAAAGATGCTGTGCGGCAGTCTGCGATTTCATCGGGTTTCAACGAGGTAAACAATTTTTCCCCTTTATTTCGTGTAATTTTTTTAATAATTTGAATATTCTCATTGTTTAATCTATTTTACAATTCCCCTTCAGATTTTGTTTGATTTGGATTTTTTTTGGGGTGTTGACAGGCTAAATTGGCAGCGATAATGGCGTCGTTCATAATCCATAAACCACGGAAAACGACGCCTTTTACTAAATCTGCACTTAAAACGGTTAAGTTTGGAAAACATTTCTAAATTGTTGTTTTTGTTTTTTTATGACATGGAGTTTTGAGTTTTTTTTTCTTCATATTTTTTGTTTGTTTAATTAGCTGGAGAGTATTGAAGCTTTGGATCAGTTCTTGTCAAAGCACCGTAAAGATTATGTGGATCGTCATAGAACAACAGAGCAAGAAAAGGACAGCATTGAACATGAAGTAATGCTGCATGTTTTAGTTTCATATACTATTGTGCCTTTCTTTACTGAGGAAAATTCAGCTGTTCTTAGTTTTATCAGTGACATTTTCGAAGTTTGTTTTCGTGTTCTGATTGCGTGAATTGTCTAATGATGAACAAGTGTGCGATCTCTCTTCATTATTGGGCCAGGTGTGACATGTGGTTGGATTGTGATTTGAACTTTAATGCCATGCAGAGTTAAGTTTTTAATTTCTACTGATCTAGCTCAAAGGTAGTAATGTGTTTTAACGCGGTATATATATATTTGGGATTTGCATTTAAAGTGTGAAGAATTTTTAGCTGGTTTTGGATTTGGTGTTATATGTTCTTGATCGAATGGTGCCAAATGGTAGGATGCAGATTTTGATGATTGGGTATATGTGCATTTTGCTTTTCTGCTTTGCAAGTCAAGTGGAACTGGTAGATTATAAAGTTTATAGCAGTTATTAGTTCCTAAGAGAGTGTTCGATTGCACATGGTTCTTAGTTGCTTTGATTCACCAGAAAATGGTTTTATTGTCAATTAATTAAGTTCATGATTGTGAGTATTAGATTCTTTACATCCTATGTTGTATGTCAAAATTTGATGCAGGTTACTGCTTTTGTTAAAGCTTGCAAAGACCAAATTGATATTCTAAAAAATTGTATAAATGACGATGAAGCAAGTTCAAAGGGGTGGCTGGGAATCAGGGATACCTCAAATGCTGATACCATTGCGCACAAACATGGAGTGGTATGTTTAAGTTCTTCCTGTTTATTGAGAGAAATTGGTTCTAAGACTTATTCTATTTTCTACAGTTATCTAGCTTAATTTGATTGATTAACACTGTTAATCTTGCTTCCTGGGGGTTAATAGCTCTAGTTTGTCTCCTTCCTGTTTATTGGAGCTACATGATCTTATCAAGATTCAAAAGTCCTTCATACTTTTTCTTTTCACGTTTTTACACAATAATTTCAATTTCCTTTGTGGTAATATATTATGTCATCGACATTTCTTCATTCAATAGCCTTTTATTTCTGCAATGTACTGTTTTCTTCCTCTAAGAGAAAAAACTAGCAGTATAGTTAGCTTGCTGAAAGAACATCTTTGGTTTTCCTTAACACTAGGTACTAATTTTAAGTGAGAAACTTCATTCAGTCACTGCACAGTTCGATCAGATGAGAGCTGTTCGTTTCCAAGATGCTATCAATCAATGCCAAGAAGGAAACTTAAGAGGTCGTTGGTTCAGATTCTGCAGATGCCTCTAAACCATACAGCTTGGAGCCTAGAGATACCAATGATAATCAACCCGAATCTCTTAGAGTCAAACAGGAATTACTGGATGATGAAACCCGTGCCCTTCAGGTAATCAGAATACTTATCATGATGAAACCCAAATCTCTTGTTTTTTACTGATCATGGTAATCAGAATACTTCATGGTAGAATTCATATGGCCTTTGCCTTCTACGTGGGTTCTTCTATTTTGTTCTTGCCAAACCACATAAAAAAAAATGCAGTCCAGGCCAACCTGAGGGTGGTGGCTTTTAGGCTCTGGCTGGTATGAAGGGTGGAAATTTTGTTAATCAAATAGTTAAGATTCAAAGTAAGAAAGTGGTTATGAATCTTAACCGTTTGATTAACAAATTTTCCATCCTTCATACCAAGCAAAGCCTTAAGTTTTACCCTTGCAATTTGCCACTAACCATTGAATTCTATCCAGTGAACAGCATTGCTGCCACAAGCATTTAATATTTCTTCCCATAGCAACTTAGAATACGAGCATGTTACGAAAAGATGATTTCTGGTTTCCAATGCTTCACCACACAATCAGTAATAGTTTGATAAACCCAGGAGTGTAGCCTACTCCTAGTAGGAAGTCTATCCAACGTGGCTAGCCAGGATATGAAAACATGTTTAGGTATAGAGAGCTGACCCCATATGTATGCCACGGTACCTTCTCTTTTCTATATCCAATGAGATCCCAAGCCTTAGCAGCCTTGTAACCTTACCAATCCATTTCGACTGCAGATTCATATGGCCTTTTCAATCACGCCCTTATGTAATTCGTTTCTGAACTGAAGATGCTAATTGCTCTACTTATTATTTAGGTGGAGTTGAGTAGTCTTCTAGATGCTGCTCAACAAACTGAAACTAAAATGGTGGAGATGTCTGCTCTGAATCACCTAATGTCCTCGCATGTGCTGCAACAGGCTCAACAAATAGAACATCTTTATGATCAGGTGTAAAAACATTCCCCTCGACGTTCACTTTCTCTTTACACAGCCTATATCTTTTGCTAATGTTACTGCATCACATGAATCAACTGTTTTCCTCTTTTACGTTATTAATCCATTATTACATCAAGCTCATTTATGAAACTGATTTGAGCAAGTTTGATTGTATAAACTGGATTTCCTTTATGGGATGATTGTATAGCTCGAGTTGTTCCACATAAGCTAAGAGAGAAGCATCGATAGGGCTATATGCAGTTCATTACAGTAATTGAATCAAAGCATTTCGGTATGAGATAGTGTTAACTTTATTTGTTCATCCCTAAGCATTGGTTTTCCATTTCCCCCTCTTTTAACACAACCTCAAAATCGGGACGGTCGTTTTTTTCCTTACCGCAGGCAGTTGAAGCGACAAAAAATGTAGAACTCGGTAACAAAGCTTTCTCAAGCTATCCAGCGGAATAGCGGCAGCCGGACGTTTCTCGTGCTTTTTTTCCTCGTCCTCACCTTTTCAATCTTGTTTCTTGACTGGTATAACTAAACAAATTGTACTTGTTACCATTATTTCTTTTAGTGGGAGCAAATCAAGTATTTTTCTTTTCATTTGTAGTTTACTTAAATGCATATGTTGGACACATGAATATGGAGATATACGCTTCAAAGTTTTTCGGAACACACAAAAAACTTTGGAAGCTTCTAATCAAATTTGTACCAAATATAAACTAATGATGGTTTAACAAACAATGCTTATATTTTTATTCGAATTTTATTCAATTTATAAACAAACAATGCTTATATTTTTTTAGTCCAATGACGACAACCGACGACCACAACAAAGAGAATGCATCTTTAAACCCTTTCTTCCTCTTTTGTTTTCTTGTTTTCTTATTCTTCTTTTTTTCCAAGCTTCATGGCCTTTTGGTCTTCCAAGAATGAAACTAGTTTTCAAATGAGAGTTAAAAAAGTAAAAGCTAAAGATACTTTTTAATGAAACTAAATCTCGTGGCAAATATATGACAATCAATGATTTAGCATGCCATGTCAGACGTTTCGTGAGTAATAGAGGTTAATGGCTGAAGTGATCGTTTTGTTTCAAAAAGTTAGTGACCATTTATGTAATTTTTCAAATTTTAGCGGTGATTTTTTTTTTATCCAAACTTTAATGACCGTGTAGTTTACCCTAAGAACAATGACCAAAATGCTAAGGCCCAAATCCAAACGCATATATTAATTGGGCTTGCGTACATAAATTTCAGCCACCTTATATAAATTCCGCAAATCTTTAGCACTTGTAATTAGGGTTTTAGGTCTCCGCATCGCAGCCACCTCTATCAGGATCCGAGGGACTGAAAAAAGGCTCCAGCATCCGAAAATGGTGAAGGGACGCCAAGGAGAGCGAGTCAGGTCTGTTTTGATCTTTCCATTAACCTTTTTAAAACCCTAATTTTCCATTTCATTTCCCCATTTTGAGCATATGGTATTTCAGTTCTTAGGTTTCACTTGCTGTTTTCCATTAATTTTAATTGTTTTCAACTCATTATTTGCAGGCTCTATGTAAGAGGAACCATCTTGGGTTACAAGAGGTAATGGAACCTTAAAACTTTTTTGTATTACTTCAAGCGCCATTTTTGTTTTAGGAACTAGAGAAAGATCTTCGGTAAGTTGGATATTTAACGAATATTTGAGTGAAATGAGCTTGGTGTAATCTGTTTGGAAAAGGAAAATTTAGCTTTCTGGACTTGAATTTGTGTATTGGAACAAAGGGTGTGATTGAATTTCTAGGTTTTTGGGGGACTGAAATTAATTTATTTTGTAAACTAAATTATGAACGTGTTCTGTGAAAGTACCCGAACAAAGGGTGTGATTGAATTTGGATTGGTGCTTATGATCTTGTTTGGTGCCTTTGGGTGTTAGGTCGAAGTCAAACCAGTACCCGAACACTTCACTGATTCAGATCGAGGGAGTTAACACCAAGGAGGAAGTCGCTTGGTATGCTGGCAAGCGAATGGCCTATATCTACAAGGCTAAGGTGAAGAAGAATGGCTCACACTATCGCTGCATTTGGGGCAAGGTAGCTAGGCCTCATGGTAACAGCGGTGTTGTTCGTGCTAAGTTCAAGTCTAACCTTCCCCCCAAATCTATGGTAAGTGTGTTATATCTTTGTTGACAGGCTTATGTACACTGTGCTTTTAGTCTTACATGTATATTTCGGTTCCTTTGCAGGGAGATAGAGTTAGAGTTTTCATGTACCCCAGCAACATTTGAGGTAGTGTTGATTCCCCAGTTTATGATCTTTCTTAGTTAATTTCTCGGTTTATTTTGATTTGTATACAAGGAATGACAGCATCAGTGATGATTCACATATTTACTGCATCAAGTTTAAGCCATTTGTAACCGGCATTAACATTTAACCGAACGGTATAAGCAGCTTTAGTAATTTTCCCAACTGTTGTAGTTTTTTTCGGTTTCCGATGTTGTGATCCTGATTGCTGCTATATGCTTATTTATGCCTCGTTTTAGCGATATTATGCTTACCCCCGTTTGTGAAAACATTTTGAAAACTAAATACTACTTTTTTTCTTTTGTAGAGTTGAAACAATTTGTCCAAGCTCCCAAATGTGATATTTTTCTTCTTTCCCTGCTGTTGTCTCTAGATGCTTGACGCCATTCGGTTGACGATCCAAGTGACTCTCGCCCTTCCCAAACTTTTTCAATGCCGTGTGTTGTTCTGGCTCTTTACAACGGTAGATGGAACTCTGCTTTTGTCTGAATATTTCTTCTATCTCGGATTTTTAGACATTTGTTGATCGACTTTGATGTATTGGTTAATCAATTATTCATGAACTGAATAGCAAGTTTTGAACTTCATGGGGATTGCATATTATTAATTTGTTTTCTTTCAGATAATTAAATATGTTTTCTACCTGTTCATATTAGCCCTCGATACATGCGTTAAGGTTCGATTCATGGTAGTTTGATGGTTGAAGTTTTTCAAGAATTTTTTTGAAATTTCGAGCTAAGAAGAATGTTCGACAATATCAATATGAAGGTGATACAACATAATTGTTATATACTTATAATTCAAGTGAATTACACCTTACATAAAGCATGCATGTGGACGTAATAAATCGAACAAGAAGAACACTCAAAGTGAATGAAGTTTATTTTTTATTTTATTAATTTAATTCTATTAAAAGAAGGTTGAAGTATACAATTGATATTGATTATGATACGTTGTTTTATTGAATTTCATGTTATTAAAAGTTATAAAATATTATAAAATAATTTTTTGATTATAAGGTGTTTTATTGAATCTTTTTATTATTAAAATTGTAAAATAATTATTTAACTAATCATATATTTAAAGATCGACGTTTTAAAAAAAATAACGGTTATTTGAACTTGATGTTATCATATTAATTGAGATACAATAATCGTTTGAGATTCTAAGATCAAATTTTAGTGTGTATATCATAGTAAAATTAACGTTTAGCTTAGATTATCGTGAATTTTTTTAACGAAAAAGGATGAGTTTAGAACATATGAAGAGTTGTGTAATCATTTTACAACTTTTAATAGTCCATCAACTTACTGTTAAGATTAAAAAACTCTTTGTGCACTTTACCCTTGAAAGAATTCAAGTTTGATTGTTGACTCATAAATTGTTATGAATCTTGTATATATAATATTCATGATCAACCGTTACCACATTTTATTGTTGCCTTAATTAAACTAAAGGAAGCATGAAATACATGAATGCATTTTCTTTAAAGATTAATTAGTTCACAATTAAAAAAAATGGTGTTACGTATATATTAATTGGCAATTTCATTTAATAATTACATCACAAATATAATGAAAAATAAATACATATTTTAGAATAATTTCTTACAATTATCTTTCTTTCCATATGAAATCACAAAACCACTTTGATTTTAATTTTTTTAAATCTCAAAGACTTACAAGTCAAAGTTAGCTTTCCTTTGTCCATACATTTCCCACTAATTTAACATTGAACCTTCAAGCAAATCCCTCAACAAAAAGAAAAATAAGAGATTTATTATATATGAATATGATATTTTTTTTAAATTAATATTTGAAATTAAAAATTAAATCGAGATTTAAACTTGAGACAAAAATAATTAAATTTCATTTTTAAAAATAAGAGTTAATTGTATCATATATCATCAAATTTTGACCATCATTCTAAATTGGTCCCTGATTTTTTTAATATTTCAATTTCATCTCTAAATTATGGCTCAAATTGTAAATTGATCCTCAAACTTTTAAACATTTCAAATTTATCCTTAAACTATGACCCTCGTTCTAAATTGATCCCGAAAGTTTTGAAAATTCTAATAATGTCCCCCTAAATCATTCAAAAATTTAAGGATAAAATTAGAACATCTAAAAGTTTGAGGATCAATTTGAAATGAGAGTCATATTTTGAGAACATCTAACACGATTATCTAAAAAAAGAACCAGGTTTATATCAATTTATATACTAAATCAAAATAAAATAAATTTCGATAATTAATCAAGATTAATTAATAATAATCCCCTCCCATGAATAAATTAAAAGAAAATACAAATGCGTTTACCTTCTCTTCTTTAAAATCCTTCTTGCATTTCTATTTTTATTATTGTTCTTCTCTCAATGAAATTTGCAGAGAAATATCCACATTCTTTCCCTTTTATCTTCTTCAAAAACCTGATCTTTCCCCGAATTTTAGTCAAAATTAGAAATTTTCTTCTATTTGCAGTACCTTGATTTGGTAATGAGGAGCCTGAAACCTTGAATTAGAACCTTGGAAGTTAATTTCATCAAATTATTACCCAAAAATCCATTTTTTTACAAGAAAAGAACCGTATAATTTCCCAGATCCATCTTCATATAATTCCAATTCCCTTCTAATTTTCAAAACCCAGCGTTTTTCAAGATACCCAAATCCTCAAAACGCCTGAAAAATGAAAACCAATTCGAGATTCTTCACGATCGGGCTAGTAACATCCTGGTACTCATCCAACATTGGTGTCTTGTTGTTGAACAAATATTTACTGAGCAATTACGGCTTCAAATACCCAATCTTCTTGACCATGTGTCACATGACGGCTTGTTCTTTGTTGAGCTACATCGCCATTGCATGGATGAAGATGGTCCCCATGCAGACGATTCGATCCCGGGTTCAGTTCCTGAAGATCTCGGCCTTGAGTATGGTCTTTTGTGTGTCGGTTGTGTTTGGGAACATCTCTTTAAGGTTCCTCCCGGTGAGTTTTAACCAGGCCATCGGCGCTACGACGCCGTTCTTCACGGCGGTTTTCGCTTACTTGATGACGTTGAAGAGGGAGGCTTGGCTTACTTATGTTACCCTCATCCCTGTTGTTACTGGGGTCATCATTGCTAGTGGGGTATGTATTTTGGCTAATCTTTGGCTTCATTTTTTTGCTTTTATTTTCTTGGTTTCATAGGATTTTGATTTAATTTTGCTTTAATTTTGTTGAAATTTGTGTTGGTTTGGTTTCTTAAATTTCTATTGGAAATGTTAGCTCCTTTATTGTGTGTGTTCATGGAGAATTTAGATGGAATGTGGAAAGGATTCGCTTTATTTTTATTGAATTATGTTGGATTTATATGTTTCCGAAATTGAATTGATAATATAGATAGCGAAATAATGTGGGAATCTGATGCTAGTTCCCTCCATTTGAATTAAGCTAATATGATTATTTTGATGTGACATGAAAGGTTCAAGCTTCAAATTATTCTCTAGTTATAAACCATTCGTCGATAGCTGAACGTTTGCCGCACGAAAAGGTTGAGTACGAGTAGATGATAAGCTAGAAACTTAGAATTATGATCTGAGTTATTTGCTTTAGTTTCTATTCAATTGCTGAAACATGTAAGATTTAAAGTATATATCTTGTTATTTGGAACTTTTAGGAATGCACCGGATTTTCAGCTTAATTTGGAGGTTTTTAAATCATAATTATCACAATTTGTGGATTATCTTTTTCCTTTTTCTTGGTTCGAAACTTCTAATGAATGATTAAATCGTAAAGTTTGAAATGTCTTTGTTTTGTTTATGATTCATCGATGCTTCTCGTATACCTCGCTTCTCTATTGTATATTTGTGTGTTTCGTTTGTTGTATTTAGAAGTGTGTGGTCTGGACTCTTGCGGCTTTAATCGATTATAAAAACCTTCAGATGTCCTGCATTATTCTTGTTATCTGCTTTTTAGTTTAATTAATCTGTTAGAATTGATCGTTATCATTCATTTTCTTCCATGGCCATAGGGTGAACCGAGTTTCCATCTATTTGGTTTCATCATGTGCATTGCAGCTACTGCTGCAAGAGCTCTCAAATCTGTTTTACAAGGAATTTTACTTTCTTCCGAAGGGTGAGAAATTTTTTATGCCTTTGCTTCTGTGTTGCGGTGAATGGCATAAGTTATATGTATTTACGTGAAGTTCATAGATTAGAAATGAGCGCTGAAAAGTTCTTGTAATTTTATTTTAGCGAGAAGCTGAATTCCATGAACCTCCTCCTCTACATGGCTCCCATAGCTGTTGTATTTCTACTCCAGGCAACGCTCATTATGGAAGAAAATGTGGTCGGTATTACCGTTGCCCTTGCCAGAGATGACGTCAAGATCGTTTGGTATCTAATATTCAATTCAGCGCTTGCGTACTTTGTGAATTTGACCAACTTTTTGGTCACGAAACACACCAGCGCCCTCACTTTGCAGGTATGACATGCGTGATACTTATGTCCGGCTTTTATCTAACTGTTTGGCTTTTGGGAAATTTGCTACTTTTGGTTTGCTGTCTTTCCTTATAAAGAAAAAAAGAGATGGATCGTGTGAACCCTTTATGCACCATGAAATTAAATTGGCATAAGTAGACTTACTAGATTATGAATTTTTCATATGAATAGCCGTCGCCGGTAATTTCATGCACACGTTCCTTTATTTTGGTATCACCGGTGCCGATATTTGAACTTGCAATAATTTTAAGCTTTTCGAGATACTTAGGTTTTTGCTCTTGCAGGTTTTAGGAAATGCAAAAGGAGCTGTAGCTGTGGTGGTTTCGATTTTAATTTTTAAAAATCCAATCTCTGTTACCGGAATGCTCGGCTATACTCTCACAGTATCTGGGGTCATACTCTACAGCGAAGCCAAGAAACGAAACAGATGAGGCCATCATCGGGGAACACGATACGTGCGTGAACGGTCATAAATTTCGTTTCCATTTTCGCAAAGAACATCAACAATGTTCAAAGAAGAAAGTTACGGCAATGCGGTAGCGAATGATGACATTGATTTTTCACCTTAGATTCTTTTAAATTTTCCCTGGAAAATTCGGGAAACCGGTTTTTCTTCTTTATCGGCTCGGCTGCCGGACTAATCGAGCATTCGGAAACTCAAATAAGTGACTTATTTGGTCTCATTTTTATGTTTTTTTATTCATTCAGGAAAAAGAAAAGGTTGTAGAATTGATCTTTACAGTTACACAGATTTATCTGTTATTAACATTTCTAATATTGATTATTAATGAAAAAACCTCATAATTGTACTCATTTTTATTGTCTAATGTGTTGATGTTAGTGTCTTTATGTGCGGATTTCATGGACGATGGATTCGTGCATTACACAGAATTTCTATCAAAGAGTACTAAATGATCTAACATTATATGTCATACATGCATGCATGACATGTATGTTAGATCATTTAGGGGCATATATCACATCACAATATTATCAAATATATTTATAAATTTATTAACCTTTTTAATAATTTTTAAAAAATTAAATTATTCTAGAATTTCAATAAATATTTTACATTTTTTCTTTAAAAAGCTTACAAATCTCAAGCGATAGAATCACGTTGCATGCGACTTGCGACAGTAATATCTCAAATAAAAACTGTTAAAACTTAACATATATAACAGTTAATTAGATCATAGATCTTCAAATTATAACTCTCATTTTAAATTAGTTCTTAAACTTTTGAATATTTTAATTCATCCACAAATTATGACTCTCATTCTAAATAGTCCTTAAACTTTTAATTTTATCCCTAAACTATGACCCTCTTTCTAAAAGTCCCCAAACTTTGAATCTTTCAATTCATTCCCAATTTCATCCAATATGTAATTAAATTCAATCATAGTTTAACCTAAATTTTTTTTTTTTTTTCAAACATATAATAATATAACTTGGCCTAATAATTTTATTAACAAGGGATGTGTTTATTATATACATATAATTTGAGATGAAATTAGAATATTCAAAAAGTTTGGGGACCATCACATATCTTACAAACATAGGAACCTTAGCCACACATCAAATGTGAGATGCTAATCTCACCAGAGCCTAACCCTTTCCTACGCCACGTGTCGCAACACGGTTAACTCCTTATCTGCTATCCCATTTAAGCCTCTCAAACCATATCAATCTTTTTCTTCTTCTTCTTCTTCTTTTTGAAGTTCTAAGAGAAAAACCCTTTTCGTTTTGCCAATGGAGACTGGTATCACGTGCTGTGCTCGTGGGATGTTCTTCCTAGTGTCTCTTCTAAGCACTCCACTGCATTAGTCTCCCTCCATCCATATTTCCTTCCTTCAGCTCAAGGGTACATAATTATGTATATATACATATATGTATTAATGCAGTTAATTTCAGTTAATTTCATCCTGATGTATGTGTTTATGTATGTGTTGCAGAGCCTTAAATCGAGCTCGATATTTGGTGAATCGATTCGGGTTGTTCCTGTTTAGGCCTTGACGTACTCACACTTCTGCAAATACGCGTGCTCCGAAGAAGTTCCCGAGCTTCAAGACATGGGAGGCCCTGCTGAAGGTCTGCAATTTTCTTTTCACGGTTTCTTGTGGTTCAAGTGAACCTGAATATGTAGTCATAATGTATCACTACATGTAACAGGTGGATTCAGTGTTGCTTTCGACCCACTCGACGGCTCTAGCATTGTTGATACGAACTTCACCGTAGGTACCATCTTTGGGGTGTGGCCTGGTGACAAGTTAACCGGTGTAACAGGACAAGACCAAGTTGCTGCAGCGATGGGAATTTTCGGTCCTCGGACGACATATGTTCTCGCACTTAAGGACGTCCCCGGCACCCATGAATTCCTCCTCCTTGATGAAGGTACTTGCAGGTTGCAACAACATTTAAATTCTGCAATCATGAAAATGATTTTTTTTCAATGGGGCCTTAATCAGGAAAATGGCAGCATGTGAAGGACACCTATGAGATTGGTGAAGGAAAGATGTTCTCCCCTGGGAATTTGAGAGCCACATTTGACAACCCTGAATACGATAAGGTTCGAACCTACTGAGATTTCCGACTCTTCATTTTTCTTAAACTACACCTATCCAACACACGTGTCAAGCACATATTTAGATATAAGTATGGGTATTTACTCTCTAAATACATAGAAAAACCGAGAGAGAGAAAAAACATACCCAAGCCAGACACATATCATACTCGGAACTCAGACCCGATTTAGAGTAATATAAGCTTTGAGATGTCCATTATTTAGTAACTTTTACCCTTTTAATGAAACAGTTGATCAACTATTATGTGAGAGAGAAATACACATTGAGGTACACTGGTGGAATGGTGCCTGATGTCAACCAGGTATATCCTACGCTTCTTCTACTTTATCCTTTAATTTTCATGTCATGGCTTAGAATACAAAATAGCCCTTGAACTTAGAAAGTTTGGTCAATTTGGTCCCTAAATATTTCTGTAGTCAAATAGGCCCCTAAACTTGATAGCTTAAACTTATTTTGGGGCCAAATTGACCTCTGAACTTATAAGTTGCTATAAAAAGTTAAGGGATAATTTGACGAAACTTTAAAAAGTTTAGGGGCCATTTTGATCTTATCAAGTTCAAGGTCCATTGTTGCGTTTTATTGTCAAATTTAAATAATTTAATATTTGTTCTTTTTTACCCTGCAGATCATTGTAAAAGAGAAGGGTATTTTTACAAATGTGGCCTCACCATCTGCCAAGGCCAAGCTGAGATTGTTGTTTGAGGTTGCACCATTGGGGTTGTTGGTTCGAAAGCCGAGATTATCCGGTTCGAAGAAACTCTATACGGATCATCGAGGCTCAGTGCAGGGGTCCCTGTTGGAGCTTCTGCCTAAATAAACAATGTTTCACTTGTTTTCGTTTTCAGACATTTTTTTTTTCCTTGTACCTTAATCATGTGGATGAAATGAAATGCTGAATTATGATGACACTTCGACTTTCGGATTCGAATTCTCGATAGTAACAGATAGAAACTCCGGTTTTCGAATAATTATCACACTGATCTATCTAAACAGTGCAACTAAATCCAAAAAAATGGAACTTCCTAAGAAGTTAAGCCCTGGAATTATCCCCCTTTGCATAGCCTTATCGGTATAATCAAAGGTGAGCTATTATAGCATTAGAATTGCAGTCTATCACATATACGACATTTCTGTCAATACCAAGAGGAAAATCATAGATCCGAGAACCCGTAGTATGGTACGAATCGTGTTTTGTTCCCCCTTCAATTTTATCTCTTTACATGATTAAAGTTACGACCTTGTTTGCAGGCCGTTGAAACCGGAAACCGGAAATGGCGTGGATCGGTTTGTGGGATTCTCCTCTAGACGAAGTCTGGACTGTTGTCTCGCAAACGAAAAGATTATCACAATGGATGCCGGTTGTTGAGCGTTGCACTGATTTAGCCGGGGACGAAGGCATTCCCGGGTACGTCCGTCTAGTCTCAGGCTTCATGTTCCCTCGACACGACGGAGAAAGGTCGTGGATTAAAGAGAGGCTGGTCGCCATGGATCCGACGTCACACAGTTATGTTTACAAAATGGAAGCAAGCAATGTGGGATTAGATGGGTCTGTGAATTCTTTGAAATTTGTGGATTATGGAGATGGCTCAACGTTGGTCAACTGGTCATTTGAGATAGACCCTTTAGAAGGTACAATTGAGGATAGCGTCATTGATTATTTAGGGTTTCTCTATAAATCCTGCATTAACAGGATCCAAGGTGCAATTGAAATAATAGTAAATAACCTATGTTCGTTTATTTACAATTTATACTCATGTTCGTTTAGTGTTTATGTTTTAGTTATCCACCTTTTAAAACTTTTGATTTTAACACCAATTTTTAAATTTCGTTGTGTAACCTAACTGTTAGTTGTGTAAGTTGTGTAACGGTCGTAGCAAGACATTGTGTTTTTGACTTTTGAGTCGTATATATGAAATTAACCTAACATTTCACTCTTCTTCTTTCCAATAACTGACCTCTTTCTCTACTGTCGATTGATTGCCATTAACAATCATTTGCGAAATAACTGGTATCAATTTTGGATTTTTCCATTTTTGTTGTTCAATCCAAGTGCAATCTCGTTAGGATGTCAAATGCAAACATTCTTCAACAGAACTAAAAGATAAGGGAAAGGCAATGCGTATCCACGTGCACAGCATTATTAGGTTTAAGGTGGGTGTATTTCCTTCATGATATATGCTTACCAAAATCACTAATCGATCAACCTCAATTCTAGTTGTCTTTAAGGCCAAGGATCTCGACCAAAAACATAAAGTTACTACCTTTAAAACAAGCATCTTGGTAATTTATTAGTGGGATCAATGTGGGGTTTGCAAGAGGTCGAATTCTTCCGTTAGCCCTTACACTATGTGAAAACTATGGATTTAGTCATTGTACTCCAATTTAGTCGTTTTATTCTCCGTAAATGGTTGTTAAATTTGTTGAGTCAGTACTGCGATTAATTTATGAACGAGTTGTATATTTAGTTTCCGTTCTCAAATTTGATCATTTTAAGTCCTCGTAATATAATCATATTATTGAATAATTTGGATCAAAAGTGAATTTCAAAAGTTCAAAAAGTATGTGGATTAGAATCCAAAAGCTATGTATGGTACAGACTAATGACCGAAATTGACTAAATCAAAATCTAGGCAAGTTGAGCCACTGAATTATATATAATTTGATTTTGAGATTAGTCCTTTTTTTTTTAGAAGTGATTCCTAATATTTATTTGTTTTTTTTTCATTTACCTTGTATGTCACCCAATAAGAATGTGCCACATGTTAAGTTCTATATTCTAGTATTTTTGGTTGGGATTAAACTATGAACAAATTGATAGTTTAGGTATCACTTTTGACCCTAAAAAACTTTATGGACTAATTTGGAAATTGAGGTATAATTCAGGGGTCAATTTGTTAATAAAGTAAAAAAAAAACCCACTTGTTTTAATTTTCTCAGTTTCTAGACAGCTGACCAGGGTATTGATTCACCATGTTTGAAAGCCATTTCTCAACTACAAAAAGATATATTATCTCTAAATTCCTCACCGTCATTACATTTATACATATAGAAAATTACCCACCACCGTATTTGGCTGTTTCATGTACATACACTTGTAACCTTCTGGAAGGTTGGTTGATTACAAGATTATTCATAGTTCCTGATATAATTGATTTAATTTTTTAATCTAAAGGCTTAATTGAGTATTAAAGTAATTAAATATTTAAGTTTAATTAAAAAACATGTGTTTAAATTATATTCTTGTTTATTTCTAGTGATAAAGTTTTTTTTTTCAATATAAACTTCATGCACGATTAAACCAAAACTAAAATATTGTTGAACTAGAGGCTTATTTAGTTATATTATATATATTATATAATATGAAAGTAGTGGAGAATTAAAGATATGAACATCTTGGGGACTTAAATGTTGGAGAAAGTTGCACGAAACTAAAAAAAAAAAACATTTGTGATGAAGGAAGAGTCCGAGAAAACAAGGTATATATGTGTGCAGATGGGAAGTAAGTTTCAGACACAACTGAAGTATCAGTCGGTCGATAATGGCAACCTTTGAGAACATTCCTTGACATCTGCTAATTTGTGTAACATCCAAGAAAACTTGTCAGGTTTTGGCATCTCTTCTTCATTCACCTAACCAGCTAAAATGACATTGCATCAATGGTGATCGACTGAAAAAAAACTATAAAAAGGTGGTTTGCAGAAACTGGTTTTTTTCTAAACCTAGTAGTTGTAAGAGAAGACAGAACATAGTTTCGACACGACGGAGCGAAAAGGATGGCTTCTTGGGTTCAGACATTGCTGTTTATGTCTGTCGTGTTCCCTGCAGAATTGGTAGAGTGTAAAATCCGGCATTACCATTTCTCTGTAAGTAACTTTAGTTACACGGTGTTTGTAGTTGTTTACTCGTTTATGCCGGTTCCATTTCCGGCAAATCATGTCTGTTAGTAGAATACGGTATGATTTCGGAAATAGGAATTCGATCGTACCATTAAAGAACATGCCATTGTGTCATGTTGTGTTATTAATAATGTTATGGTGTTGGGTCTATTCAGGTGGTCTTGAAAAATGCAACAAAGCTTTGCACATCCAAGGCGATTTTGACGGTGAACGGAAAGTTTCCGGGGCCGACTCTTTATGCTCGAGAGGGCGATAACGTGCTCGTGAGAGTCACGAATCATGTTCAATACAATGTGACAATCCACTGGTAAGCAAGTTCATCACAAGGATCCTATACAAATTAAGTGAGTCTAAAATTGCAGATTGAGATTGCAGGCATGGTGTCCGGCAACTCCGAACGGGTTGGTCCGACGGACCGGCTTATATCACACAGTGTCCAATTCAACCGGGCCAGAACTTTGTTTACAACTTCACATTAACAGGTCAAAGAGGGACACTCCTTTGGCATGCACATATTTCCTGGCTGAGAACAACCATGCATGGTGCCATTGTTATCTTGCCCAAAAAAGGAGTACCTTATCCGTTTCCAAAACCCGATAAGGAAAAGGTCATCGTATTAGGTGAGTTTCGGACTTCCCGGCACCTCGAAGCTTGTTTTTTCCCGAACAGAATGTGTTCAGGAGACTATATGTCGATATTTACAGGGAATGGTGGAAGCAGATACCGAAGCCGTGGTGAACCAGGCTATGCAAACCGGTCTGCCTCCGAATATATCGGATGCACACACGATTAACGGCCATCCTGGTCCAGTTCCTAACTGTTCTTCTGATGGTATTACCTTTGGACTATATATAATCTTGTTTTGTGTTCGATCATAATCGTAAAAGTCGTAATTTCTTTCTATCGGGAAGTCGGAAAAGCGTGTCAAAAACCATCTGGTCTATGGGAAGAAAGGACTTAAACTAGCATATTATAAGAACAATGTTAATCATTTAAGAGTTGTATCATTCGGTGAATGCAGATGCATATACTTTACACGTCGAAACCGGAAAGACCTATTTACTTCGGGTTGTAAACGCGGCTGTTAATGACGAACTCTTCTTCAAGATTGCATACCACAATCTGACAGTGGTCGAAGTCGACGCCGCATACACGAAACCGTATAACACCGATACATTATTTCTTGGTCCGGGACAAACCACAACTGCACTTCTTAAAGCAGATAAGGGAGTTGGCAAGTACTTAATAGCCATATCTCCATTCATGGACACCATTGTCGCAGTTGATAACGTGACCGGAGTCGGATACTTACGCTACAACCGCACCCTCGCCCTAACACCAACTACCTTGGTCAGCATTCCTTCCGTAAATGCAACTCCAGTGACGTCGGTTTTTTCTGATTCACTTCGAAGCCTTAATTCGAAAGAATATCCGGCCAATGTCCCTTTAACAGTGGACCATTCCCTATTTTTCACCATTGGTGTCGGGATTAACCCTTGTACCACGTGCATCAATGGTAGCCGAGCCGTAGCGTCTATTAACAACATCTCTTTCCTCATGCCAACTACAGCTCTCCTTCAAGCACATTACTATGGAAGAAACGGGGTTTTCACAGATGATTTTCCCGGAAAGCCTTAATACCGTTCAACTATACCGGTACTCCACCGTCCAATCTACAAACAAATAATGGCACTAAGGTATACAGGCTGGCTTATAATTCAACAGTTCAGCTAGTGATCCAAGGGAACAATATAGTAGCACCCGAGAGCCATCCGACACATCTTCATGGATTCAACTTCTTCGTAGTCGGTAGAGGGGTCGGAAACTTCGATCCGGAAAAGGATCCATCAGAATTCAATCTCGTCGATCCCGTCGAACGGAACACTGTAAGTGTACCTACTGCAGGTTGGACTGCAATCAGATTCAGAGCAGATAACCCAGGTAAATTACAATCAAATCTTATCGACGAAAAAGA